GACTCCTGGGTTCTCTGCCTGGCTCTGGGAGGGGAGTGGGGGCTGGTGGTTAGAGCTGGGGGGGCTGGGAGCCAGGACTCCTGGGTTCTCTGCCTGGCTCTGGGAGGGGAGTGGGGGCTGGTGGTTAGAGCTGGGGGGGCTGGGAGCCAGGACTCCTGGGTTCGCTCCCCGGCTCTGGGAGGGCAGTGGGGGCCAGTGGTTAGAGCGGGGGGCCGGAGCTAGGCGCCGGGTCTCCCTGTATTTCTGGCTGGAGGGGGATTAGTGCTGACTTGGCCTGTGTGCCTGAAATGAGTGTTCTGCATCTCAGCCCCATTCCTCCCAAGGGGGGCGACTTCGGGAGCCGGGGGCAGGGCTGGGGGGGCTGGGATATAGAACCCAGGCATCCGGGGCTCAGCCTCTGGGCCCGTCCCTCCCCCCGGCTGCACCACGGGCCCTTCCCTCCCCCCCAGCCCTGTAGCGCCTGGTCTTATCTGTGGGCCTGGGCGGCTCCGTTATGGGGTGGGGCTGGCGAGAGGGGGCCCAGGCCGCCTCTCGGGGGTGTCAGTCAGTGCTGGTTGTTCGTCCTCAGTGCAGGACAACAGGTAACGGGGTCATCGGGGGGGGCATGAGGGGGTCAGTGGGGGAGAGCATGGGGGTGGGGGACTCAGCTGGGGGGGGCGGTTAGGGGGAAGGGGAGGCTGAGGAGGGCACGCTTTGGGGGGGAGGCAATGAACCCTGGACGGGTTGGGGGGTTTCTGCTGGGGGGGCCCAGCCAGCCTGGGGCCGTCAGCAGCCCGGAGACACCATACCTCAGCCCCATGGCTTCACCCCTCGAGCATGTTAGGGGGTCCTGCCTCTCGAGGGGGCACCGGCTCTGATCTGGCCCCATGGCAAGGAGGGGGCTGGCTCGGGGGGGGGCAGAGAATGGGGCCTGGACGGTGCTGCCCCCATAAAATCCCCTGGGCATTTGGGGCGTCATTCTTCTACGGGCCTCCCCTCTCGCCCCCCGTCCACTCCGTCCACCCCCCCCACCGCAAACCCACCCATCCCCGCAGCTGCGTTGGTGGCCCCCCCCACGGCTCTTATCAGCCTCCAACAGACACAGCCCCACCCTGCCACCCTTCTCCGGGGTGTCCGACTGTCACATCACCTCACACTCAGTCCATAGAGACTGATGGGACGTGGGACGGAGACGGGTCCCGTCCACCCACCCTCCAATCCCGCTCGTTGGATGGTCCCCTCCCCACCTGTCCCCCTATTGTTACTCCTCTGGGACGGGGGTGGGGATCAGTCATTCGGGAGGAGTCTCCGGGGGGGGCACTCGGGAGGCTGGTCTGCTGGAAGGGGTCGATTTCTGCCCGCCTGGATCTATTGGCAGACAGGTGCTTACTGGTGTGGCTGTACTGAGCCAAGGTGTCTCCCCCGCTTCCCGTTTTCAGATTTGCCTCCCGGTCAAAAAAAATCCCACAGGGGCCAATTCGGCCAACAGGCCAATCACATGCTTCAGGGCTCCCCAGGGTCAGGAAGGAAGTTCTCCACCACCGCCGTACCCCTCCAGGCACAACTGGCCAGCTGTATCTGCATGTTCCCCTCTCCCCCGAAGAGCTGGGAGGGGGTGGCGTGCTGCGGGGTGGGGGGTCCCGGATGCCTGGGTTCTTCATGCCCTTTCTCTCTCCCGGGCAGCACCGCAATCCGGCACGATGGCTTCCTTCCTCCAGCGTTGCCCCTTCCTGACCCGGGACCCCAGCGTCTTCTTGCTCAAAGCTCGCCCGCTGCTGATAAGCAGCGCCCAGCGATGTCCTGTCATGGTAGCCCGGACCCTCATGGGCTCCTCCCCAGACCTGCAGAGGGGGACAGACAACCCCATCCCACTTGGTAAGCAGTGGGCGGAGCTGGGAGCCAGGACTCCTGGGTTCTCTCCCTGGCTCTGGGAGGGGAGTGGGGTCTAGTGGTTAGAGCAGGAGGAGGCGGGGCTGGGAGCCAGGACTCTTGGGTTCCATCCCTTTCACTTGGCCGTCTCTCCCCAGCAGTAGGATCTGTCCCCCAGGAGTCGGGGCCCCCAGAAGCAGCCTCCACCTCTTCCCAGACCCACTGCCCCTTCATGGAGTCGGAGGTGTGGGGTGGACGGAGCCGGATCGTTCAGCGCGCCGGGCCAGAGGTGCAGGAGGATGTGAAGGTCTACAGGGCAGGTGAGGACTGCTCTGACCTGGTCGGAGAACCCAGGAGTCCTGGCTCCCAGCCCCTCCCCCACTCTAACCACTAGACCCCACTCCCCTCTGAGCCCGGGAGAGAACCCAGGTGTTCTGGCTCCCAGCCCTCCCTGCTCTAACCCACTCACCCCCCATCTCTGTACCCCTCCAGACCCCCTCAGCTCTCTGCTCCTCGAGGTCCAGTCCAGCCTCCGGAAGAAATTCCTGGGCCGTGATGGGCTGGGGCCCGATGCCCGGCTCCTCCCCACCCACCTGCTCCAGGACAACATGCCAGGTGAGGCCTGATATCGGGTGACATAGAATCATAGAATATCAGGGGTGGAAGGGACCTCAGGAGGTATCTAGTCCAACCCCCTGCTCAAAGCAGGACCAACCCCAGCTAAATCATCCCAGCCAGGGCTTTGTCAAGCCGGGCCTTAAAAACCTCTAAGGAAGGAGATTTCACCACCTCCCTAGGGACCCATTCCAGTGCTTCACCACCCTGCTAGTGAACCAACCTAGACCTCCCCCACTGCAACGTGAGACCATCGCTCCTTGATCTGTCATCTGCCACCACTGAGAACAGCCGAGCTCCATCCTCTTTGGACTCCCCTTCAGGTAGTTGAAAGCAGCTATCAAATCCCCCCTCATTCTTCTCTTCTGCAGACTGAATAACCCCAGTTCCCTCAGCCTCTCCTCGTAAGTCATGTGCTCCAGCCCCCTGATCATTTTCATTGCCCTCTGCTGGACTTTCTCCAATTTGTCCACATCCTTCTGTAGTGTGGGGACCAAAACTGGACACAATACTCCAGGTGTGGCCTCACCAGTGCCGAATAGAGGGGAACGATCATGTCCCTCCATCTGCTGGCAATGCCCCTACTTATACAGCCCAAAATGCCGTTAGCCTTCTTGGCAACAAGAGCACACTGCTGACTCATATCCAGCTTCTCGTCCACTGTGACCCCCAGGTCCTTTTCTGCAGAACGGCCGCTTAGCCACTCGGTCCCCAGCCTGTAGCGGTGCCTGGGATTCTTCCATCCTAAGTGCAGGACTCTGCTCTTGTCCTTGTTGAACCTCATCCGGTTTCTTTTGGCCCAATCCTCCAATTTGTCTAGGTCCCTCTGGACCCTGTCCCTGCCCTCCAGCGGATCTACCTCCCCCCAGCTTTGTGTCCGCTGCCAACTGGGCCCGTGGGTCTGAGGGGAGCCACCAGGCCGGATGGAGGAGAGGCCTGGGGGGGGACGCAGGTGGGAGGGATAACACTGGTTTGACTGTCGGATGCTCTCCTGGGGGGGTCCTTCCCAGCTAGCCACAACTGGGCCAAGGGCGTCCGGCTCACGGTATGACCAGCCCCCCTCCCCGCCACTAGGCCCCCCCAAATTCAACTCAGCCTCCACCCTGGACCCCCCGAGGCGAGATTCATAGACGCTCCCCAGGCCAGAAGTGACCCCCCCCCCAGCACAGGCCAGAGAACATCCCCCCTGCCAAATAATAATTCCCGGAGCGGATCCCTTCGGAAAAACCGGCCCAGCTTGACGTAACAAATCAAAACTGCAATCCCGGGAAAGGTTTTGGGATGCCCGGAGCATGGGGTTGCCTCCTGCCCATCCGGGCTACCAGCTGTTGCTGGATGTCGCCTCCAGGAACGGCTCTGAACCCAGCTATAGTTCTGACCTTCACAACATCCTGCGGCAGGAAGTTCCACAGGTCGACTGCATGAAGACCTACGGCCTTGTGTTTGCGTGAAACCGGCCGCCTCTTGATTTCCTGGGGGGACCCCTGGCCCTTGTGTTACCTCTCCGCACCAGTCCGGAGTTCAGAGCCCGCGCTCGCCTCCTGCCTCCGGCTCCTCCAGCTCCGGGATCCGTTTCCCGGCCGGTCTCTGCACTGTTCCCAATTCGAATAGAGCTCGCTGCAGCCGGGGCTATTCCCTGGCTGATTACCCAGCCCGGTCCTAGACGCCAAGGTCTCTTGAGGGAGTGGGAGCCACGAATTCAGGGCCCCCCCCTCTCGCCCCACGGCTCTGCACCCCCCCTGCTCTGCGGCCCCCCCCTTGCCCCACTGCTCTGGAGGGGGGGAATCGCTGTGTCTGGGGGGGAGGCGAGGGGGGAACTGCTGTCTGGGGGTCTGTCTCTGACCCTGCCT